TTTGCTGTTTAACCGTTGTTTTTCAGTCTTTAGAACAACTTCCCCTTTCTCACCACACACCAGTCCCCATTCTCACCCCTCTTCCTTGCTTCACTCTTTTGTGTAGCACTTATAACTATCTGGCCCACACAGAGTCTTCCTAGATATTTAAATTTTTGTCATTTATCTCCCCAAGAGTGTATTCCATGACTCTAAAATAGTGACTGACATACAGGTACCATCCAGTAGATATTGGTGAATGAATGAATGAATACATGTACCGTGGAAATTTTCATTCTACAGGTAAAAAGAGAAGTTTAAGGACTCTTGGGACTTTTCTATTATCACACTTCTTGTTAAAAGTAGTACCATCTACCTCCAAGTTCTTTCCACTACAGTATGATGTCTTTTAAATNACAGGTACCATCCAGTAGATATTGGTGAATGAATGAATGAATACATGTACCGTGGAAATTTTCATTCTACAGGTAAAAAGAGAAGTTTAAGGACTCTTGGGACTTTTCTATTATCACACTTCTTGTTAAAAGTAGTACCATCTACCTCCAAGTTCTTTCCACTACAGTATGAGGTCTTTTAANGTATGATGTCTTTTAAATATAGTCATTGTCCAGACTCCATTATCTATGTTGACAGTTGAACGAGTAAAAGACACTGCCGCCACAATGACAAGTTGTAGATGCAATAAGAAAGGAAATTAGTGGAATGCATAACATTGCAGGTAAGACTGGTCACTATGTGAAGACGGTTAGTAGGTGTATATAAGAGAAGACAAAAAGAAAATAATGTTGACTATTATGAATGCTATCATAGTGTCTCTCAACTGAAAAATATAAAGGAATTGAGCATTTTGCAATTGTTGATATCTTTTTATAGACTTTTTAATGTATATCACCTTTAAGCTAGTCCTTTGGTGCATTTATTGGTGATATTCTCTTTCCTGTCTTCTACATTAAAATTGTTGTTCACCTTTTACTTACTAACCTCTTACACAAATTAAATACTGTTTATTTTTTTGAAAAAGCTAGGATTTCCTGTTATGAAATCCTGCTGATTTAGGAGTTGAATCAAACAGTCTATCTTCATAGCCTTTTATTTTAATCATGATATTTTGTTATCCTGATTAAATGAATATACTTTTTTTTTTTTTAATTCCATTCTATACTCATCCTCTGGCTCCTCCTTGTGGCCACTTTTTTCTTTTCTCTTTTTATTTTCTTTAGTCTCACTTCCAAGTTTAATTTTCACTTTTCTTCATCTTTTCTTGTAAATAATTTTTTTGGAGAAAAGTTTTAAGAATCAGTTATGTCAAATTCTGCTTGTAGGTTCAGATGAATCCTGAGAAATAGCCTTTGGATGTGTTACTGTGGAGGTTAATGGTGACTTGGACAGGAGCATTTTTATAGAAATAGTGAGGGGGAAAGCCTGGCTATAGTGGGTTCAAGAAAAGTAGGAAGAAACAGCAGGCACAGACAGCTTTTTGAACCCTTTTGTTGTTAAAAGAATTAGAGAGATGAGGTGATAGAGTGTATGTGTGTGTGAGGGGGATGAAGAAGATATATATATTTTTTGCCTATTTTTTAAAATAAAAGATATTATACCACTTATTTTTAAGTTAAGGTGACTGAACCAGCAGGAAAAAAAATTAATGATTCCAGAGACAGAAAGAGAGAGAAAATTACAAGTTAGAAATCTTTGAATAGGTAGATGGGATGAATTTCAAAGAGTTTATATGATTTAACCATGGAAAATAGTTGAAAATGATATCGCCACGAGTACAGATGTAAATGTTTTGGTATATTTGGCCAGTGAAACAAAGAAAATGCTCTTCTGATTGTTTTTATTTTTTTCTAGATAATAGAGAACCAGGTAACTCATTGAGTTTGAGGAGGGAAAGAAATTTGAGAGTTGAGAAAAGAAGAGAAACTGGGAATCATCTTCTAGGAGGCTACTAGGATAGCCTGATTAGTAAGAGTGCTGGGAAGTTAACTGAAATATTTTAAAAAGACCAGTTAATGCAATCAGATTCCGCTGTTTGTATGCAAGTGTAGAGTCAATAGTAGACAGTGTGTGGAAAGTGTGACCAATCTTCTTCCACAGAGAGATGATTAGGAACCAGGTGAAATTCTTCATTATTGTTTTACCCAAGTGGTATTTCATATAACATAGTAAGAGGTTAAATACTTTCTCAGGGAACTTTAAGGTATATGAAAGAATCAGGGAAATGGAAATGAAAACTCCGTCTTTGCAAACTTTGGTGAAAGTGAAAGACCAGAACAGAGACTGAAAAATATCCTGAGCGCTCATTTCTATAATCACCCATTTGATTTAACTTTTCCTTATTCCAACGGTCTCTGCCTTTACCTAATTTACCTAGAGTAGTAAACATATACATAGATTTATCATTCATTTCCACATGACCCAGAGCCTCCAAATCTTTCTTTTTTATTGGTCATGTCATTATTGTGGGGGGGGGGGAGAGCATGAACAAGAAATATATTACATTATGTATTTAGAGATCATGCCCAAATGTTACTGAGTTGTTACTATTATTACACTGCCTTTCTGAAACTCACTATTTGTTTCCACCCCTGAGGTGGATGTGGCTCATTCTGAAGATCTTTGAGTAAGATAATCTTCACATGGAGGTGGATGTGGACAGGTTTTCTTTTTTGAATCCTTACCTGAGGATATTTTCCCCATTGCTTTACAGAGAGAGTAGAAGGGAGAGAGAGAGGGANAGGATATTTTCCCCATTGCTTTACAGAGAGAGTAGAAGGGAGAGAGAGAGAGAGGGGNACAGGTTTTCTTTTTTGAATCCTTACCTGAGGATATTTTCCCCATTGCTTTACAGAGAGAGTAGAAGGGAGAGAGAGAGGGAGAGAGAAACACTGATATGAGAGAGACACATGGATTGGTTGCCTCCCGACCAGGGCCAGGGATCGAGCCTGCAACCTTCGCCGAAATTGAACCCGAGACCCTTCAGTCCGCAGGTCAATGCGCTAGCCACTGAGCCAAACCAGCCAGGGCTGTGGGCAGGCTTTCACTCCCCAACCATCTGGAAGCAGAAATCCGCACCAAGTAGTCCCCCTGAGTCTAGTTATCTAATCATCCTCCCCTCCCCCAAAGGAAACCTTTAGAAAAGATTCCTTAGTTTCCTTGTTCATGGATAGCCCCCCAATATTTTTTTTTAAGCTCTGTGTTAGCTTCCTATAGCTGCTGTAGCAAATTGCACAAATATAGAGGCTTAAACAACACACATTAATTGTCTCACAGCTCTGTAGCTACAAGTCTGACATGGGTCTCATTGGGGTTAACTCAAAGCTGTGGGCTGGGCTGTGTTACCTTCTGGAGGCACAATGGGACAATGGATTTTCTTAACTTTCCATCTTCTAGCCACATTTCTTGGCTCCTGGACCCCTTCCTCCATCTTCAGCTGGCAACCCTGTATCTCTCTGACCATCCTGTGTCATTACATCTCTCTCTCAGCATATCAGAGAAAGGTTCTCTTCCAAGGACTCATGTGATTAAGTTGGGTCCACCTAGATAATGCAGGTCTATAATCTTAGTCACATCTGCAATGTCCCTTCTGCCATATAAACTACCATATCCAGAGGTTCTGACGATTAGGACATCTTTGGGGGGCTATTATTCTGCCTACCATAGGTTCTTAACCACAGTTTACTTTCTTATATAAATTAGTAAACTTTATGAAACATGTGGTGAGACATAAACACAGTCCTTTAAGAACTCCGGGAGTCTGATGCCTATTGTGACTATATGACCAACCACACGTGCAATGTGATGTTTTTCCTATAATCTTCCAAATAAGAGCCAGAACACTTTCTTTATAAATTGTCAACTCATAGAGTATCACAGTGTAAATCCTTGTGCAGTGAATTTACTTCAGTTTTATTGGAAACATCTCTTCAGGGCCTTATTAGGCCTAAGATAGAGAATAGAGGTTGGTTATTTTACCAAGCTATTTATTAATAAAATATAACTAAATTGTAGCTTAAAGAGACAACAAAGCACAAAGACACTGTAGAGATTCTCCTGTATCCACTGTTCCGAATGAATATCCGGCCCTATTCCTGCCTGTGGTTGGCCCAAACTCCCTCTCCTGGTTTTTCAGACCTGAAAGACTGTGTGTTTCCTACAGGAGTTTTTGCCACCTTGCAATAGTGACTGTGGGCTGCTCTCAGGCCAAAACCAACCAACCAAACAAATTAAAAACAAAACAAAAGCACCTTACCGTGTGCCAGTCTTTCTCTCCAGAATCTGCCTGCTTGTTTTCATTCTCCTGAAAGTTCAGGTAGTTGTGTGTTTTTTAAATTTTGTTCTGAATATTAGTTGTTATTTGCAGAAGATTATCCTATTAGGAACTTAGCTAAGCTAGAAGGGAACTCCATTCATACACTGTTTTAATAGCTATCAATTTCTTCCCCGTGCCCCATTGCCAACACTGCACATCCCATCTCCCTCTCTCTCTCTCTCTCTCTCTCTCTCTCTCTCTCTTCACATACACACACCACACACTTGGATTTCTTAAAACAGCAGCCAGGTGTGGGTGGTACATGTGACTACAGTACATGTGACTACACACCTCTTCCTGTCTTACCATGTGTATCTGCTTGATATCTAATATAGGTGTGTATAAGTCACATCCAATGTGACTTATTGACCCATTATTGAAGCATTGAGAATCATGGGATTTCATGTATGGAACCATCATCCCTGCACTGACTCCAAGCACCGCTTCTTTGCTTCATAGCAAGAAACAGCTTGAAATCTACAATATGTTGATTTGTAAGGAGAATGTTTGACTTCCCTCCCTTAGCAGAAAAACTGTCATTCTGTCCTTACATAAGTTGCAGTGGGATGTGTCTTGGGTCAGTTGAGTGTCTATATAAAAGCTCCCAGCCTTGAAAAGAACATCTTGTTTTAGGCCTGAAGATATTGAAACATTAATTACACAATTGATAGCAGTGCTTTCTTCTACAATGTCTGAAGAAGTGACCTACGCGACACTCTCATTTCAGGATTCTGTTGGAGTGAGAAATAACCGGGATAAAAATAACCTAAGGAAAAAAGGTAAGGATTCAGAGACAGCAAGACTTGATTGACCGTAGGGGACGGACAGGTGGTCAGTGCTTTGAGGTACTGGCTTTGCTACCTAAGCTAAAGAGAGGGGTGCTGGGGAAGCTCTGAAGTGGAGACAAAGTTGTGCAATGTATTAGTAGAATGGGTGTTCCCAATACTGAAGAAAAATTGTTTGATATCACTATGCTTCATGAAGCCCTGTGTTATAGTGGAAAATGTTCATTAGACATGCCAGAGATTAGGCTTGGGGGCTAAGATTTCTTTTTATAAATGCAGTTCTTGATATTTATACCTTGTGAGAGATACCAGAGGAAAGTTCTTTTAGAAGGCAGATTGGAGGCTTCTAAAGTAGGGAAGGTAGAAGAAATTTTTCTTTTCAAAGGTATAAATAAGTGAAGAGGAGATTTGGAGGATGGGTGAGTCAGAAATAGACAAGAGATAGTTTCTGTTTTACAGTATTTTTAAAAATTAAAGAGTTGAAATTTCCAGTATAATTAGTAGTGTTGAATCAAAAATAACACTATCTTTTTCAGTATTTTATATGCAGTGTATCATGTCTTTGTTAAAATATAGTTGCGAAGCAAGTGAAATAATATTAGTACTTCTTCCAATGTATTGAGAAAACTGAGGCTGAAAAACTTTAAATGATTTAAGCAAGTTCATACAACTGTTATGTGGTGGAGTCTAGTTAGATCTAGCCTTTCACTCATTCCTTTATATCCAACTTGAAGAAATAGTGGTTTTTGTGGTCAGGAATCCAATTTGATATATCAGACTACATCCCTCACCTTCAAAAATCCATTGGCAGTTCAGGGTGTTGTCCTGAATCATCTAAAATACATGAACTATGTTCTCCTCTTTAATTCTAGTTTGGGTTAAGTGTGTATGTGTGTGTGTGGTTTGAGAGGGGGTGATACACAAAGAGGACGACAACAGACTTTGCATGTGCCTAATAAAGATGGTTATAGATTATTTTTTAGAAAAAGTTTAACTCTAATCCTTGGGAAAGAGGAAGCAGTGGATGTGCTGTATGTGACAGTGCACCCGGAGGTTACATTAATCATTCCGAAATATGGGGCTCGATGCCGTTAGGTCCTGAACTAAGGAACGGGAAAGTGAAGTGAGTAAGAGAACCACTTGTGGTATGTACGGGGCTGGGCAAAAGGAGGTTTACAGTTATGAGGATGCAAAACACAAAGTTTATTCTTGTATTATTATTTATTAATTATTGTATTATTTTCTGCACAAACAGCTCTAAACATATTTTTGCCCCACCCTGCATAAGGAATGTTAAATTTTGAAGAGTTAGCCACTGGCTTCCTGGGCTTTTCTGTGGTTTGTAGGTTAGATTGCACATTCATTCCTTCTTTCTCTCAGTAGTCATTCATTATCTACTAGGTGATAAATAAAATGGGTAAAAGGTAAAAATAAAATCCATCATAACACTCGTCTTGTGGAAGTTTGTAATTTCAAAACCTTAGGACCTCTTCTATCGTTAGGATCATCCAGAGAACCACTTTCCACATCTTGTTCATGAATTCGGTAAACTTGAAGAAGAAAGGTGTGTGATGGTGTAAAACAGAAACCTAAAGCTTAGGAGACACTTAGAAGGGAAAAGAAAAAAAAAAGGAAGAAAGAAAGGAAGGGAGGGAGGGAGGGAGGAAGGAAGGAAGGAAGGAAGGAAGGAAGGAAGGAAGGAAGGAAGGAAGGAAGGAAGGAAGGAAGGAGGGAAGAAAGGAGGGAAGGAAAAGAGAAGGAGGGAAGGAAGGAATGAAGGAAGGGAGGAGCACTGATGCTGGGGCTCTTAGAGCACATTGTTTTAGGTATCTTTCTAGGTAGGGGCATTAAAGAAGCTTAGGAACTTCTTCCTACATGGGAAAAATGAACAACCATGTGTAAACCATCAGGCAGCTCAGTTTGCTCATTCCTCTGTTGGCTTTCTTCACGGTATCCAGCTCCATCCCACACGTGGCGTTGGGCGGCCCTGACTCTGCTAACTCTTTGTCTGTTGCTGCTGATTGGGCTGGCGACCTTGGGGATTATGTGTAAGTATATTTGCATCAAACTCAAGAAAGGTGATTAGGGAATGCATTTATAAACTATGTAAATTCAGGTTGGATTGTATGAAAGTGCTACATCCTGAATACTTTCTGCTGCTTCCTGTCTTTCTCATGATAAGCTAGACTGGACTATGAGGACAGCTTATACTTTTCCAGTTGTTGGTTGGAATAAGGAGCCTCTTTTCCGCATAGAAACACATCCCAATGTTGAAAAACAGAAAGCCAAGGAAGGTGGATTCAAGGAAGGGCATGCCATTTTATTTACCTCTAAGACTTTGTACAAGACTGGCTTAATCTGCTCATCCAAGACATTTCTAGAGTAGAGAAACTCTAAGCAGCAGCAACAGCTTGACTGGTATAAATGGAAAAGATACAAACAAGGAGGAAGAGTGGCCTGGTATACCTTAGTCAGTAGATAAAAGTTGAACCACCAACAATGGAAGCTCCATTTCCAAGCACAATAGTGAAAAAAGACTATTCTCTCTATTCTGACCCATCATTGGGCAGTCAGGGCTGGAGAGGATAGGGAATCCTGAACTCACAAGTGCAAAAACATCCTGAGAATACACACTTTGTAGGATGTTGTTAAGTATGTGCACAGAGTAGTGAGTGAGCACAGTATTCAATTTCAGGGGATACACAATCAAGAAAGTTTATTTGCCAAATGATACCAACATCTCCTCTGCTACTTTCATTTTTTTTACATATGGAAAATCTCATGGATAATTAGGATTTAGACATACCTATTTGGACATATAAATAGAAGCCAAAGATGTAACTTGCTCTTTTGAAAAGAAATATAATGTTCTAGCAGCAGTGACAAATATTCAGTAGCTAATCATTATGAAGATGAGCAGTTGATCTTCTACAATGAAAAATGAAGATGCAATATGTATTCATTGGTTTTCCATAAAAGATGAATGATTCTTTCCACTAAAATGCAGTGATTTGAGTGCATTGGTTCTTGAATTTATTCTGCTGGTGAATCACTTAAAGTGCTTATTTAAAATGAAGACTTTATGGATCTGGGACCAGAAATGATCAAGTGTGGCATTAAAATATGCCTTTAAAAAATACCTTAGGTGATTCTGACGCAAGTGGTCTACAGACCATACTTTGAGACACCCAGTGCGCCAAAGGATTCTGTTCCTATTAAGACAAATACATGAACCAACTCCAAATAGAAAAAAGACAAAATTTCCACAAAATGAATGGCAAAATGCCTGGCACTGCCTTAGATGAAGTGCCATAGATATATAATTACTAATTCATTATTTTAGTACAAACACAATAATAATTAAAATATAAATAAAATTATAAGGATCATCTCTAAACAATTTTAAGTAGAAAGGCATCTGATGCATTCCTTCTGTGATACCTCCATTATTAGGAGCTACTAAGAAATCTTAAACAATGTAAGACACATTTCTGTGTTAAGAGAATTATCTATGGCTATCGTGTGAATGGGAGAATGTATGAACTTGTTTCCTGTTATGTCTTGGAGTTTTGCAGACCTCTAATGAAACTGGCTCAGATTCAGAGAAATTGAGTGAACTTCAGAAAACCATCCACCAAGAGCAAGATAACTTACCCCAGCAGCCGAGCAACTACAGGAACTTTCCCACGGAGGAGGAATTGCTTAAATCACAGGTCTCCGATCTGTTGAAGAAGCAGAGACAAATGGCCACCAAACTCTGCCAAGAGCTAGTCATTCACACCTCAGGTAATCAGGACCTGCTGACCAGTCAGATCAGATCTGTCATTCCAGTTGAGGTTAATTATGTGCACCACCTCTGGTGCACATAATTACGCCATCCAATGACCACTAAGGATGTTGCACTAATTTTACAGAAGACAAGGGAAGATATAAATTTATTTAATATTTTTGAACACACAGAGGCAAATTTGGGGAAGCATCATGGAATTATGTCAATCTGGATACTTCAGTCCCTCACTTTATGAACTTTTTAAAGGGATCCTGTTGTCACGAGAAGTTAAAAGTATAACTGATCATTCTAAGGCCAGAAAACTGAGCCCTAAAAAGATAATTTTAAACACCATTGTCTCAACCCATAATCAGGGTGACTTTATTTTCAAAGGCCCTTAAAGCAGTATGTTTTTGGGGTGCTGGGTCTTAAACCATACTATCAAATTAAATAATTTAATTTCCAAAACCTTCTCCAGTCACTCCAAAGTTGTTTAGTTCATACTTTGGGGTATAATTTCTTTTTCAGACCACAAATGTAATCCTTGTCCTAAGATGTGGCAATGGCACCAAAACAGCTGCTACTATTTTGCAACAAATGAAAAAACCTGGACTAACAGTAGAAAAAACTGCATGGACAAGAACTCCACCTTGGTGAAGATAGACAGCTTGGGAAAAAAGGTCTGGATCTCTTCTTCTGATTATAGAAATTATCCATGTAAAGGAAAATAAAGGGAATTTCTGATTCACACAGTAGGGATGCAGTACATTTTGAAGGAAAATTTATAAAGGAATTTAATATCTATCTTACTTCTGCAAATGGAAATAATGGTTCTCACATAGCGTTTTCCCTTTTCTCTCTCTCAGGATTTTCTGAAGTCACAACCATTACCCAAGTCTTCATTCTTCTGGCTGGGATTATCATGGGATCCAACTAGCAGAAGTTGGCTATGGGAAGATGGCTCTGCCCCATCTCCATCCTTGTAAGTTTCTATTTGGAAAAAAACAAGCTAAGAACACCAAGAAATGGGATACTGAGAAGATGTTCTGATTTGCATTTCCATAATAATTAGCAATGCTGAACATCTTTTCAGTTGTCTGTTGGCCCTCTGTATGTCTTCCTTGGAGAAATGTCTATTCAGATCCTCTGCCCATTTTTTCATTTTGGTGGTGAGCATGCTATAGTATATACAGATATCAAATGATAATGCTGTACATCTGAAACAAGCTCAGTTGTTTCCATTTTGAAATTTAAGATGTGTCCCTCCTCCCAAAAGAGTTTTAATCATCCCCAGCCCCGCCATTCACACCTGGCTGAAGCATGGAGGAGGTGGCCCCGGCAGCAAGTTTCAGAGCCTGCGAACACGGGTTCCCCGAGACCGCAGCTGCCCCATAAACCGGCGCAGCGCACTCAGGGTGGCGAGGCTGAACTTCAGGGTCACACGGCCGTTTCCTACCGAGTAAAAGCCAGTCTCAGCAAATGCACACGCTCGGATAAGACTTAGTAAGCTCAGCCCTGAAGTAGGAAAGAGCACTGCAGTATAATGCAGGGCACTTGGGGAAAAGCAATTTGGGGCACACAGAAGATTTACACCCGATGAGCATAGTTTTCGGATGACATTAAGTTATCGCCAATTCCTTAGCAGAGGAACTGGGGACTGACACTGGGACCACATTCATTTCTCTCTTAATTTTGTTTTGTTCTCTCTTCACACACACACACACACATAAATATATACAAAATTATACTTGTGCAGGGTAAAGTGTAAAAACTTTTTACACAGAAGGTGATTTCTTTGTTGTTCTTTGTTTTGCTTTTCTTCATAAAGTTCCAAAATTAAGAAAATCTAGTAGTTGTGAAATAATCTGAATTGGGTAGTTTCTACCATGTTAACGGAGAGAATGCAAATTCTCAACCCAGAATTTAAGTATCCTTTTTAAACGATTCTACCTGGAGCTATAATTACCTTGAAATAAAGCACTCAACGTTCGCCAGCTTCAGGGGTTTTGTTGTGTTGTGGAAGGAACACATATCTCAGCATTCAGATATATGATATTTGGTAACGGGGAACACTGAATTGTGATCACATTTCAAATAGTTGATGTATAAATTAATTTTTAAAAATGTATAATCAATTTTCAATTAATTTGCAGATTTAGTACTAAAGAATATGCCCAGTTCAATGGATCCCAAGGATGCGCTTATTTTCAAAAAGGAAATACCTATACTTCCCGCTGCAGTGCCGAAATTTCTTGGATTTGTGAGAAGACAGCTGAGTTAGTGAAGATTGAAGATTTGGATTAATAGGCTTCTTCCAAATTCACCAGAAAGTACGGGACTTGTGGTTAAGTTCATGTGAGGAAGGAGGCAGTGACCCTACCAGAACCAAACACAGATGAAAAAGAGACTGTGTATCTAAACTATCAGGCAAATAAACTTGCTTCAGAGAACATGCTTCACCTCGCGGTCTGGTGCCTTCTGACCTGAGGTTCTCTGGGTACTGCTGGGGACCCAGGGGACTAGCTGCTCTGGGGCCCTGTTGCTCTGTCTCAGAATCATTTTACTGATTTTCCTCCCTCAAAGAAAAGACGCTTTCCTTGTTTTGTTGTTATATACGCACAAGTGCACTGAAGTGATGTGTTAATATTTAACAGAGCTGACACAGACCGCAGCCCTGGAACAAGGTCCAGGAGACTTGCCATGAGAACTTCCCGTAGAAGTTGGGGGGATCCTCAGGTAGGGGTGCTGGTTGCTGGGGCGACGGCATGGTGCCACATGATTTGGAACGACTGTACCACCGTGCGCCGGAGGAGCGTCAGTCTGCGTGCACAAAATAACTCTTCCTCCTCCGTTTCTCTATGAAAGTACATTTTTAATCATCTTTAAAATTTAGATAATTTGTAATCTAGGTGAAGTAGATCATCACGGAGCATTTATATCCTCATTTATTTAAATTAGTAATGTTGAGGTTATTCATGTGGAAACCTGGAAATTAATATTTGAAGTTTATTGTCTTATAATTGAGATTTGATTTCATTCAGAGAAGTTCTAATAAGTGGAAGAGATTAAGATGTAGAATCACTAATTTTTATTTTTCAGAATTTTCCTTTGACGTAGTTTGCCAGTGTCCTTGCACATTACATGATAAACGTAAATTTAGAGGTCAAGAGTTTTTCTGGGAGAAAATTGCCGATTTGAAGATACCAATAAAATATATGATTCTTATGCTCGCTTCCTATAATTGCATAGCCTTGTATAAGCTAAAGAGAATGGCAAACTAATCTGTGATACTGATTTTGCTAGAACAAAGACCTAGAATTTACTGGAAAAACATATGATCCGAGTTCAAAGCTAGTTGCATTTAGGAATACTTGGACAGTTTTTCGAAAGAATATCTTCATACATACCAGCTAGTAACATGTATTCTCTAAAGATTTAAAATTGTGAGCTAATCAACAGTTTATATCATTACCAACAGACAGTCTAGAACAAAGGAATTAAAGTCTGATGTGAAAATTTAGCAAGAATTTCAAATAAAACATACGTAAGCACAATTTATTAAATATAGATAATTATTTCATCATTGCTCAAGTGAATGAGCTTTACCAATTTTCATACAGGACTGCAATACAAGTTACATACACACGGGTTAAAAAGCAACTTTGTTTCATTTCTCTTTAGTATCTTACTGTGGTTTGCATTCTCACAAAGATAAAATTATTTTTTAAAGGTCAAGAACACTGCACCTGCCTCCCACACACTTGGGTTTTTCTTGATTCTCATAATAAAGGATAATTTCTTCTTTTATTCCTCTATTTCTAGCCATAGAACTATCTGTTACTAATAATTAAAATATCTCAGTTGGTTATGTTTTGTTCCTATAAGGAAGTTATAGGTG